GGGAAGGCTCACTCAGACGGGCTTTTCTCGAGAAGTTGCAACTCGCATCGCAGGATCACTTAGACCTTCGTCTTCCGCCGTCTACCAATCTCGATGGTCCGCATTCGGTGATTGGTGTGTCGGACGGTCGATTGATCCAGTCTCTGCCTCTGTTCCCGTTGTAGCTGACTTTCTTTTGTCTCTGTTCAGGGACAAAGGTCTGTCTCCGGGAACTATTGCAGGCTATCGTTCAGCCATTGCTAGTGTGCTGGCTTTCTATGGTAGCAAGTCAGTGGGCTCGGACGCTTCATTGTCGGCTCTCATTAGGGGCTTCTACATTGAGAAGCCTCGTTCACGGCAATTGGTCCCTAGGTGGAATTTAGCACTTGTGCTAGATTCCTTGTTAAGGGCGCCATTCGAGCCCCTCCAGTCGACAGATCGGAAGTTTCTTACTTTCAAGACTGTGTTCTTGATAGCCTTTGCTTCCGGTCGCCGCAGAAGCGAGATTCATGCTTTCAGCAGATCTTCTTCTTGCCTTCGTTTTTCGGCTGGCCATTCTTCGGTCTCGGTGACCACTGATCCCTCCTTTTTAGCTAAGAACCAGGTTCCCGGTTTCACCCCAGGGCTTGTGGTTATCCCTTCTTTGGCTTCAACTCTGGATGGGGATTGTCCTGATCGCCTGCTCTGCCCAGTTCGGGCCTTGCGTTACTACTTGGCCAGAACAGAGGGGGGGGCGGGACACTCGTCTCGGCTGTTCCAGTCTCTCCAGCCCGGTCGCTCTGATATCTCTGCAGCGACCATCTCACGCTGGATTGTTCAGACTGTTCGAGCTGCGTATGAGTCGGCAGGGGATCAGTCCTTGCGGGTGTCAGGGGTTAGGGCTCATGAGGTTCGCGCTTTAGCTACTTCGTGGGCCTTATTTAATGGTTCTTCTTACGCTGAGGTCATGACAGCTGCTGTTTGGAGGGGTCATTCTACGTTTACGGAGTTCTATCTCCGATCTTTGTCGGGACAGTCTGACGGATTGTATTCTTTGGGCCCTCTTGTGGCTGCCCAGTCCGTTGTCTGTCCTCCCTCTTCTTTTGCATAAGCCTCATTATGTCTTCTCCGCGTGATCCGGAACGCTGGTCGTAATCAGGCTTTGTGTCACAAAAGGAAAGGGTATTTTGAATTTTTCCTCCGGGGGTATGGGTCCTATTGTTGGAACCCTTCATCGCTCCACGGAGACACCACTGCGGTAAGTCGAATTCGCATTATAATGACTGTGGTAACGTATTTTGAAATAGAATTGAGGTTTCTCTTGTGAAACCAATTTCTATTATAAATACTTACCACAGTCATTAGGTGAGTTCCCTCCCAGCCTCCCCTTGTCTCCTTGGCTCTCACTTTTTTGGGCTTTGGAATTATGAAGTGGGAAGCATGGCTTCGTGTCTTAAATCACGTGCGTGAATACTGCCGTCTGATTGGTGGGTTTCCCAGGGGTTCCCCATGGGGGGAAAAATTCTTTATTTACGTATGTAAAGAGCCAAGTAAGGTTGGAATATGCATTATAATGACTGTGGTAAGTATTTATAATAGAAATTGGTTTCACAAGAGAAACCTCAAAATTCTAGCACTTCCCAACCACGTACTCATTTACAGCCGAGTAGACTGGAACAAGCGAAGTAAAGTATCTTGCTCAAGGATACAACACATTGCCATGCTGTGGCGCGAACCCGCAACCCTTCGGTCACGAGCCCGGCGTCCTACCACTGGACTACAGTGCCTCCTTTGAATATGTGAATATCAAGTGTGTAAACTTAAACATATTGCAAATGAGACTCTTTACTGCCACATCGGCTTATTGCTATATAATATCTCTCCACGTTATCCATGTTTGTAATCTTTTATTTTATCTACTGTAAATAATACTGAAAAAAATGTATACAAAAATAGTTTAAAACAAATGGTTCTTTAGTGCTTTCCATTCTTGTATTTGGATATAAAATTATGTATGCAAAAGTCTGAATAGGCAACTGTATACCATATTGTCCGTTTCCCATTACTCTGATATAAACACAGTTGGTAGTCATATTTCACTTGATATGCTTTAAGTGTACATTAGATAATATAGATAATAACTGCAACTGAATGAAATATTAATGATACCTGATATATTATTTATGTACATGATCTATTATTTATGTACATTACAACTGATAGTTTTTATCTTAAAAAGCATTAATATAAAGCTTTGCATAATAATATTCTATGATGTGTTTTACGATTGCAAAATAATTATTATACAGGTGAATAACTAGTTTACCAGGATATGTCCTTGTCTCAATCTTTATAAAGAATCTTCTTCATATTATTCAGGATTTACGTAAATCCATTCAAGGTTTTTCTTCTAGAGTAAATGGGTTCGTCTCAGTTTTAATGTGTGTTATCACGTCGTGTTCGTTTTTAATGTCCCATGTAGAACTGCGTCTGACTCATCGCGTCACTGTTGATGCACAAAAGGCTGATTTATTTCATATTTTGAAACAAGCTAGCATGTTTGCAGTAATGGCTACGTCATGACCTGACCATATGATAACAGCGACGACAATAATTTCACGATGGTTTCCTCAGTAGTAATCATTAATTCCATCCTGGATCACTGTATACATGTGATCAATTATTGACAAAACATTTGTTTTCAAATGGAGACAATTCATTTAACACAACATATAATGTATATTGAGCTGTTAGTATTTCCATGATATTTGATTGTGACATATTAACACCATGTGACACTTAAATAGATGGTGATATTTTGATTGGTGCATTCAGCATACAAATGCTACACATAGTAGATAAAGTTGCTACAGTTATACGTAGATATTGATGTTAATAGTTCGCAAGCTAAGGTAAGCTGTAAGTTTATTTATTGCACATTTATATATTTTTTTAAATGAACGTTATGCTCGGTAAAAGTACGTACCTGGAAACATTATCCTTGCCATATGTCTAAGAAATTAATTATTGATGAAAAGATAAACAACAGTATTTTCTCTCTGGAATTCTTTATTGAATTTATAATTACTATGGTTTGGCTTATATTGGACACGGCTATGAATTTTAGTTTATTTTAATTTAATTCCCATATTTGGGCGCCAACAGAGCATGCCCAACCATTCATATAACATTCCACATTTTTCATAACTATGAATTTTCAGTTCAGTCATCATTTAACATCTCATAACACATTTTTCTTGTCATTCATATCAATTTCAATTCACCATCAAAATATCATTCAACAATGTAGTTCATTTCTTGAATCCACAAATCACATCTGAAATTGTCCTAGGCATCACTAATGCCTGAAGAGGCAAAAGTAAAGATTGCCGCGCACTGCCACATACCCCACACAGGGGGAACCCCCAAGCGGCAAACCCCCTCCCCCTGCCCAGTAAGTTTAAGCCGTGCCCAAACAAACCCCATTCTAGTATCCCTAAATGGCTCTACATATTTGGTGGAAAAACTGACCCCCCTTTAAGTATGTGTTCAATACCGCCCTGCAACGATTTCAAGAATATGGCATTGCCTAATGCCGACAAATGAACACCATCGTCTGGCTTGAATAACTGTTGATTTTCCTTTACAATATCTTGGTGCTTGATATACCCACCCTTAAGATTAAGCACTGCCTTTGCACATACCCTATTCAAGTTTCGCCTACACCTATTCATGGCTCTAGTATTGTTCGAGTGGCGCCATTTTAGTCTGGGTAGTACTTGTGAAAATATCAATCTTGTGGTGGGAAAAATTCTTTGAAGTGCCTCGATCTGTTCCACTGCCATTAAACACAGACTTCCTGCTGTATTCTCACCAATGTCATTGCTACCCAGGTGAATGACAATAGCTTGTGGGTGTGGACCAACTTTTTTTAGTGTTGTGGCCTTTTTGGCTAAGTGTTTAATCTTTAGGCCGCTATAACCCTGCCACCATAGGTCTGCATAAGGAATATTGAGGCCACTGCCCCCAGGGCGATCCCATAAAGCTGCCACTTGTGCATGTCTTATTATGGATGAGCCCAAGATCCACACCACTGCGCCTGTAAATCTGTAGAGCTGTATTACTAAAGGTGTTATAGTACAGCTCAATTGACTTTAATCTTTTTAAGCAAAATTGAACTGGGGGACCCTAATGTAGGATTTGTAAGCTTGAGAAGACCACCTACCCATTGCTTTTAACTCAGTTTCAGGGACCCCAGCCTCGAAAAGGGCAGTGGCGCAGCCAATTCTAAAGGAATGAGATTTGTAATTTTTTCCTTCAACTCCAAGATAGTTTAGAGATTTACGTAGAACTGCCCCAAATTGGTATCGGGTTAATGGAGCTCCCCCATAATGGCAGAGTAAGGGTCCCTGGTGTTTCCCCCGAATCCTTCTAAATGTTGTGTAGTGTTTAACAGGGCAAATATTCCCTCCTAATTTGGGGATTGCTATGGTTACACCTTTTCCAATCTGGTCAGTTTTGGAAAAGCGAATCTTTAGAATAAGCTTTTCCCCATGAATATCTAAAGCTATGTCCTCATACTGCATGATGTGTTGTGCTGACATTTTGTTTGTCAAAGTTAACTCACCCACCCTAAGTAAACCAAAAAATGCTATAACATACGCAAAACTGAAGAGCTTTGCTTCATATGTAGATGAACAAATAATGGGGAGAGAGTGCACTATCCTCTTTAAGAGATTGACAGAAATGGGTAAACGGGTATCTTTACGAGAGTTTGATCTACGAATACCTTCTATCATCTTGCTGACAAGAAACGAATGTGTTGGGTCATCCCCTCCCAACAATTTGCATTTAAACCCAATTCCCGATAAATAAGATCTGACTGTAGATGTTGTTTTGTATTGAAAGGTAAGCTATGAAATGAACAACATGGTCCATAGGTGGAGGCCAGGTATTACCTAGATTACCCAACGTCCGAAATCGTTCGAACTCTCGCAAAGCAGTTTCATATGTTGAGGTTGTATTTTTTGCAACTGATATTTTTAACAATCGGTCACGTTCAGCCTGGAGATCAGAGAATGAAATTCTTGTGGAATCGCCTCTGGGTACTCTGATGCTATTGGTGCTAGGTTCCGGAAACGCTTCCACTGTTTGCGAGAAATTGAGTCCGCAATGTCATTGTCAACACCCCTAATATGCTGAGCCTTGAACTGGATATTGTGTTTCATGATAAGCAAAACGAAATATCTAACCAAGACCATGATCGCTGGGGATCGAGATGTTTGAGTGTTAAGAATTGATACCAAAGCTAAGTTATCTACTCGAAACTTTACTCTTCGATCTGCAAGACGAGGTCCCCATAGCAGTAGCGAAAATACTATGGGAATAAACTCCAAGAGACTCAGGCTACCCAGGATTGGTTTACCTTCCCAATTGTCAGGCCATTGGTAAAATACCCAGCTGCCAGAAAAATATGCTCCACAGCCCAAATCATTAGCACCTGAACTGTCTGTGAAAAGACTAAGTGTGTCATTGTCCTGCCAAGTAGATGAATGAATGCATGCCTTACCATTAAAATCTGACAAAAATTTCAACCACATAGTGATATCATCCTTCATTGTCTGTGAGATACGAATGTGATGAAACTTTGCCTTCACCGACGTCATGATATCATAGAACCTTCGTAAGAAGGCTCTGCCTGGTACAATGGCTTTACAAAAGAAACTGAGAGACCCAACTAGGGATTCTAACTTGGCCCTAGTGATTTTCTTTGAATGTAGCACAGTCAAAAGGCTCTGTTTTAGCTCCAACATTTTCTCGGGTGGTACTCTGATCATCATTTCAACAGTATCAATTTCATATCCCAGAAAAATGAGGCACTTGACTGGGCCGATAGTTTGTTCCTGTGCTAATGGAACCCCCAACTCCAAACATATGTTTTGGAAACCAACCATTAATTGGTGACACTTATTTGAACCCTTTTCCCCACAGAAGAGAAAGTCATCAAGGTAATGATCCAAACTAGATAAACCTAGCCTGTTCTCCACTAGCCAATGCAGAAATGTTGAAAAATTTTCAAATAGGTTGCACGAAGCTGAACATCCCATAGGGAGACATTTGTCAATATAATAGTTGTCCTCAAACTTAAATCCCAGCAGATCAAAGTCACCTGGATGTATTGGAAGTAATCTGAAGGCTGACTTTATGTCTATTTTCCCCAGAAGTGTTCCCTTACCAAGCTTGGCTATCATTTCAATAATGTCATCAAATTTGGAATACTTCACTGTACTATATTCTTCTTCAATATGATCATTAACACTACTATTGAAAGGGAAAGACAGATGTGTGATTAGCCTCCATGTGTTATCAGGTTTTGGAACAATACCTATAGGAGATGTCCTAAGTGTTGAAATAGGTCGTACTTTAAATGGGCCTAAAATCCTACCCAAACTGACTTCCTTCAAGATCTTTTCTCTTGCAGCTGCAGGATTCTCGGAAACTGAAACTAAATTTGAACACTCTATTGGATGTCTGGGGCCTAAATAATGTAAACGGAAACCATGAGAAAACCCAGTCAACAATTCATTTGCCTCTGTCATTCTTGGGTACTGGCTTAGACAATTTTTGTGTTCACTTTTGATGGGTGTGGCTGCCAGGGCCCATATATCCCTGTCCACGTCCCCTCCCCCTTGTACCTTTGAAGGGCATTCTTGGATTGATACCTGGGTATGGAGAGCGGGTGGGAGTNGGGGAAGCTGGGTTAAGAAATGGTTGCCGTTGTGTGCACATGACTGAAGGATGGTCTCCTGAACAATTCAAACAAGTATGTAAGTAATGACATGGGTAACGGAAGCAGGACCACTTATTATTGAAATCAAAGCATTTCCCACTAGTCCTGGTATTGAAACGCGGTTGATAACGAGATTGGGGAACTGGAAACCTATCATTCATGTAAAGCAGCCAGAGTTCATCATCTATCTTTGCCCAATCAGATTCAGGATTAGAACTTTTTCTTAGACGATATTGCTCGTCATAACTTTTCCACCCCAGACCATTACATCTCCTAGCCCCCACTCGAACGCTGTCCATATACTTTAACAACCCAGGTATTTTAGCTGGATGGACTGTTCCGTAGATGGCAATAAATACAATAAATGCATCTGTCCACATTTCAATGGAGATGATTTTTTCAGAGGAGATGGATTTTGTTATCAACTGACCATTTTTTATAATAACCTTTTGCTCATCCCCATCTTGGGGTCCCCTTTTCAATAAAGTCCCCAGGTTCACATATTTTCCTTCAATTATTTTTGTTCTGGTACCCTCGGAGACATTTTCCCCAAGCTTAGAGTACACGCTGACTACTGGGGTAATTAGGTCAGCCTCATCACCTGATGAATCATCTGGTGCCTCCTCATTCTGATCAGGGACTGTGTCCTGAACCTCTGGCTCGGCCTCCTGAACCTCCAGCTCAGCCTCCTGCTGTGCCCTCCGCTTTGCAGCCCTCGTTGCCGTTCCAGGTTCCTTCCTTTTGGGCATTATAACAGCAACTACCGTAGACCTCGGAAAAAGGAACTCTATATTAATATATTAACCACACATTTCAACAATACACATGTGCCACATTTACTGTAGGATATTAATAATGTATCATTGAAATAGTATATGCAAAGGGCTTTTAAACTGATCAATTAAAAAATAAAATAAAAAAATATACCGATTAAATACAGACCCTGATAATTCATTGAACCAACATGATAAAATAGTTTTGACTAAGAGCACTGTACTGTAGTATTACATAATGCATGGTCGGACTGAGGTGTGTTTGATCTACACTTAGAATTCAGTATTAAACTCCTGTATACTAAGTTATCTCTCTTAAAATTGTAATGCTTCGTGCCGATCAAATCTTCGCCAGCCGTCAAAACAAACCCGCCAGCCGTCAAAACAAACCATGTGTGTACCACGCGTGTAGGTCACGTGTACTCAGGCCGACGGCGTGATCACTAGTTCGACCATAGGTGGTGGGCACGTCTATCTTGGAGAATTATATAATATGCAAGCTGATTGGTCGAGCTATTTTCGTCTATNAATGTGAAATCTTGCGGAGAAAATACTTGAGGGACACGAGAGGAGAAATTTAGTGGTGCGTAAAACAAGTAAGCAAGTTTGTTTTGACCTTATCTTTGAGTATACCATGGTTTATTAATGTTACGTCGTCCGCTATTCTGTGTACCGAATGAAGAATTTGTTTCGAAAAAATGTTCCGGATCGTGTCCGAGGTAACACAAATCGGTGATTTTCGCGAGCTTCGAAACTGTTTACGAAATAACTACACTGTTTTGAAGATATATAATGGGTGTTATTTAAATATTAATGTCCCTACTTTCGATCGAGACTACGCTGTGGGAAGGATTTTAGCGGATAAATTTCTGTGACACTTCAAACAAAATTACCTCAATTTTGCCAGCCGCTGGTAGGGGCTGAGATCCTCACCTTTCTAGTTTTATATATTCATTTTTTTTTTTGATAGACGTGCCCACCACCTATGGTTCGACCTTTCTCACTACATCATATCATCGTCAACTAAACGGATGAATTTCAACTCGTACAACATAGCATCGCTCTTTTATCTTAACTTAAATACTCAAACGATAACATAGTCAAGAACGATGCACTGACAACTATTTATCAATGTAACATAGTTATCAACAGTTTGGCCTAGTTCGGTCCTGGCGACCTCGTGGCTTCCGCCGTCTCGGCCGAAAAAGGTTAATATTACAGCAATAAACGATTGCTAGCATTCCTCTCATTACGAAATGAAGTTAATAATACAATATAATATTTATGACAAAATTATTTTCTCTAAAATTTGCATGGATTTGCTTATATAAATTATCAAATTGAATGCATGTCATACCGTGTTCAGTGATCTGTTGAAAAGGATGTAGCGTGATTGGTACGCCCCCTATAATTCAAAACTGTGTCACAAAATAAAAAGGGGGATAACTCGAATACAGCGACAGAGTCTGCAAACATTCCCCAATACACTATAAAGGTATAACATTAATCTGTCACAATAACAGTCGACTATTAGGCAGAGTAATAGTCGTTATTATTATTAATGATTGGTATAGTTAACTTAAAAAATGTACGTGTTTTACAGTAACAAGTTAAGGAAAAGTAACAAGCAAACGTTATTCAGTATGGTCTCAGGAATGTCCCGGACAGAAACCAGCGAAATATATACAGTAATATAATAGGAACTGTAACAACTGAGAATGCGATATGAAAAGTTTGTAATCTACATCTTATCAATGATACAAATTTTGATAAAATAACAAAAATAATCCGGAATTGTGTTGTGGTGTTTTTTAAGTGAGAGTTTAAGACAGGTGAACATGGCAACTTTTGTTACGCTGTATAATGATAATCAAATCCCACAAGTAGCCCTAGGAACATCAAGGATAATCTTTTGTTTCTTTAAAAAGGTCGGTAATACTTTTACATTCTTTAGTTATGTTTTTACATGTAAAAAGATAGGTATTCACGAACTATTTGGTATTCATCAAAATTTAAGAAAACAATTACAATGTATGTGAATGGTTCTGAGGAGTAACCGTTATCTGCATTGTATGCATATATTATAAACTGCACCGATGATCCTAGTGACTTAGAATGGTTAATAAAATGTAGATAGTTTATCTAGATACATTTTAACAAAAACCGTTCAAAATTAGTGTACCTCATTATTTTGGTCCTTTTTATCGTTTTCTTTATTCGTAATTCCGTAAAAGGAAAAATGGAAATTTGCGGAACTTTCATAAAATATAATGAAATTAAATAGACCAAAACCATGAACAACAATGTTCTGGACGTAAAAAGCAATGGGCTAAACGTGGATCCGAACACCATACATCTCCGATGTATACATTACGATGACCCAGGGGTAACGCTCGCTTTCGCTCTCGCATTATGTCATAGCTAAAAAAAATAAGGGACGCTGGAAGCTATTTGATTGGTCTCGGGTAAAAACAAACTGACAAATCCCTAGGCTGATACTAATCCTTTGCAAATTCCGGAGGGGCAATACACGACTTCAAAGCCAGTCAATTTTACCGTTACGCAACTGCGAGATGATTTGATGTATATCAAAGGTTCAAGCTAGTCTTCTTGTTTCATCCTGAAAGTGACGCACACTGGGACTTTGTTTATGTTATGACCTATTCCAGGGGTGCAGAGAACGTCAGCGAGCAAAACCCCTGGCATAGTACCATCGATGATGCGATCATTCTAGTTGCTCTCTAACCAAATGATGTACCTGATTGACGGTACTTTTCTGGTGCAGTCGAGCTACATTTATATTTAAAAGGATGTGGTATTCTCCAGTGTTTTTTTCCTTCGAATTCAGTGTGACAGGGATTGGTAGTCCTTTAATATGTAGATTTTCCTTATGTTACACATACATATGTTTTCAATATTACTCTTATTAGCATATGTATGTATACCATTGCAGTAAACCAAAACATACCACTAATTAAAAAACATGATTATGAGAGAGCGACGGATAACCTGAAACGTGGTCGTTATTTATAGATTTCAGACGAGAAGATAGAAGATTCAATAAAACTAGCAATGGAAATGGGCCGGGGTACCGACAAATAGATGCGCATTTGCCTTTTTAATGAGGTGGCCATTGGAAAAGCACTACAAGAATATATGGAAGGTACCAACTTGAAGCGTGAGGATGTGTTTATAACCTCGAAAGTATGTATATTGGTATTGAGGTGTATTTGACAGCAATAATAATAATAAAAACCATATTCATGTATTTTGTCAATGAGTGTAATCAACCGAATATAATATCAAAAAGCTTTTTGATATGTTCATGCTCGACAGTGTTATTGATACAAATGAACATTGCGGGTTCGAGTCACGGCACGGCACTTTGTTTAATCTTTGAGCAAGACACTTTACTCTGCTTGTTCAAGTCTACTCCGCTGTAAATGAGTACGTGTTTGGGCAGTGCTAGAATTGTTGAATGTTAGTAGTGAGCGCCGAAATGGCAGCACCAACTGTATGCTCCCCAGGTAGTTGTGGAAGATATTGGCTGGTTGCAAAGACCCTATACCCACGGATGATAATTTGTGAACCGCTTTGAGACGACCTACGAACTAGGGTGTGATAAAGCGATATATAAGAACCTCGAATTATTATTATTATTATTAATGTAAGGTGTTTTACACTTGAGCTGGAAGACTTGGAAGGAGACGCTGTAGGAACGGCGTTAGACGAAAGCCTAAGGAATTGAGGCTGGATTACTTGACCTCTTTCTTATTCATAGCCCAGAGGCCGAGTTGGCCAAGTTGTTAAGGCGTCTGGCATTCTGCTACCATTAGCCCTCCACAACTGGGTCGCGGGTTCTAGACCTACATGGGGCAGTTGCAAGGTACTTGCCGTAAGTCAGTGATTTTTCTTCAAGAGGTCTAGCTTTCCTCTACCACCAAAACCTGGCATGTCCCTAAATGACCATTGCTGCTATAATAGACTTTCATTCACTATCTGTAAAGAAGATAAGACGTTATATAATGTATACATTGGAATGATAAGATCGTATATTCATTAAATCATAGCATATTTTACATGAACACTTATTCTTATTCATGGCAAACTCAACTATTATATGTAAATTCGTTTGATTGCTATCGCTGCAGGTATACGAAGGATACTTTAGAAATTGCATATTATAAATATATCACTTGAAGGAAGTTCGTGTGTTACTGTCAACAGTTGGGGAATTGTAGATTTATGTATGACGTCGTGCAGAAGTATCTAAATAACAGGATACATTTACTATAATCCTTTGGACTTGTTTGTGTTTTACGTCCTGTTAGTTTAATTCATTCAAATAGTGCCGTGGTTCAGAATATATTCATGTGCTTGACGTGCTTTTGATATCCAATATTGAAATGGATTAAATTCATGAAAATATGGGACTTACATACTTCCCCATCCATATTTTTTTGACATTTCTTTCGACCTATTTGGAGTTTCATCCGTCGCCTCATTGGGTATCAATACATTAGGCTGTATGAAGCAGTTTTCATTTTGGCTCGACTGTATCTAATTCACTGTTTTTATTGAAAGGTGCTTATCGCTTGTGTGTTTTTGTACAACACTTTAAGCTAATGCGTTGACAGCCAAATGATACCAAATTGGAACGGCATGGTGTTGTCACCTTTAACTCTAGTTGCGCAAATATACTTATTTGTTGCAACAGCCCTGGGGTCGTTATTGGCAGGCACATGATCATCCTGGAGTAAATATAAAACAAAAAGAGAAATGTGCCTTTTGCAATATAAAATGTTGCCAGTGTAGTTATTTATCGCAACTGAACTCAAAACGTTTAATAATTTATTTTTCAAATATGATGCAAAACGTGTAAATGAACACCAGTGTTAGATTATATTCGGTATACACACTGAAAAGCAAATTATTCTTCCTTTATAACGACGAGCGAGAAAGTAGGGTGACGTCAAATATATTTATAGTACGTATTTTATATCGTTTTCATAGAACGACAAAATAAATAACAAGAGTACCGTGGGTCGGAAAAATAATCGCCCGTCCAATGCCAAAGAACAATGTATTATTGTATCAAAATTAATGCAAATACAGAAATGAAACATTAGTTGTCTTATCAAAATGCAGTCACAATCAAATAAAAACGTACAAGTTCATGGCATAGCAAGGTCAAAAATGATTGAAAGAAACTGGTTAAAAATTGAGGGTGAAGATCGATAGAGATCAAGAGGATTTAAAAACTTAAATAAACAAATTGCAATAACTTTTGCGAAAATAGGCGAATCAAAATAACACTCATGAAAACACTACTGTATATCATTATATGAGCCAACTTTAAAGAGGTCTTTTAAAAACTGTGGGAGGAGATCTCCGGACAAGGTTCGAATACTGAAAGAAAAAAGGGCAATGACTTTTGCAAAAAAAGCTTCATAGAGATTGGATGATAAATGTAGGAGGGGATCTCCGGACAAACAAACGTTTACACCGGACGGACGGACAACGCCATACCATAATACTCCCGTCAAATTTTGACGGGCGTGTAAAAATGATCATGATACGTTATGCTTACTCGTTACTACGGCCATGAATTGCGCACCCGAATGGTTTAATTTTATCATATCTAAAAATAAGAATAAACACACATGCACTTAAATGTTTGACATAGTGTCCTTTGAACATACAGATTCGAGTTTAGTGATATATAATAGTTTTCTCACAAATATTGCAAATTTTAAATCAGATGGTTTTGAAGGGAAAAAATATTATTTGTCACAAATATATTTTTCGTTTTTAAAATGTCACTTGCCTCTAAACAGGTCTTCGTATTTAAAACTGTTCAATGAAGGAGCTAATTATGATATCTAATTATCTTTAACTATCATTGTAAATTAAGATTTCCAAATAATTATCCATCAACATGCCACACATGGTTTGGTCCCATTGATCTGTATATTCGTCTTTGAATCCTGCGTCTCCGACGAAATTCAACGCCGTTTGGATTAACTTCTCTCAAAGCTTCCATGGCCATTTTTTCTGACACATGAATGTTTTATTAATATTTCTATTCCGTCATTAACGTGAGACAAATTGGGCACGACCATTATTGTTGTATAGATATTCCGTGTGCTGAGCACAACAATATATTTTCATACAATTTGTACTAGTCGTTATGAGATGGTACAGCAAACTAGGATATTTCACATAAGGCGGATGACTATAATTCACCAAATTGTCTTGTTTATTAACCAATAGTAAACTTGTACCTTAAACGATATCGTAGTGTGTGTATATCATTTCTGGTATATCTCTGTATGGATAGTTCTCTGCAGCCAGGACTTCAAGGCTCTCATTCACTTTTTAAATGAACAAATCCTTTTAATTAGAATGGTACGTATATATACAACAAGAGATACCAGAGGGATCTTGGCGCCCACATTTGAATGATATTTATTGGTTCTCTGTAAGACTGATCTTTTCTCTAATTTTACCTTCTTAACCCTTTTCTTATTTATCTTTTGATAAAAAGGAGAACCTGCATATGAAATATAAAAAAGATCTAAGAAGAACTTTCTGAGAAATAGCAATAACAAATTAAAACAGTTAAAATCCAATATCGCTGCATCTTAGCAAATTTCTTTTTCCAATCAATCGCAAAATTAAGAAAGCACAACTAGAAACCAAAGGAAACCTACATAGTTATGAAATCTGAGATAGATCTATAAGAACTTTCTGTTTTTCAAGTTTTAGGAATACTTTCTCAAGAAACAGCGTTATTGAAAATGTTAAACTCCAAGATGGCTGCCACCCAGCCATTTTGTTTTCCGCAATCACTTTAACTACTTCACAGCCACAACGAGATAGGGATAATCAAAATCTAAAATGGCCACCTGCCGGCTATTGTTTGTTTTCTTGGTCACACTCAACATTGAATGGGCACATCTAGGTACCAAGGGGAACCTTCACATCAAGTTTGCGAAATGTCCTTTCTGTTCTTCTCAAGAAATAGCGATAACAAGGATTGTTTACGGACGGACCAAGGACGAAGGGCGATTTGACAAAAATAGTATAGAATATCAGACATAGATAAGTATAATATGTGCTACTGATTAAAAAGTATTATAATAAACACAATACTTAACATAAATGAACCATTGCAATTAAAATAACATGGCCTTTTACAATTATGACAGAGAATGCCCGGACAATTTGTACTAGAGTTCTAAACATTAACTTCGTTCTGCTGCTAAAACTGTACACAATATTGCGTATAAATATATAGATTCTTCTGTTGCTGTAAGATCTGCATACATGTAATTGGTAAATGTCTACACCATTCCAGTCTGAATCACGTTATACATTTGAGATACATGTGGGACAAGAACGTAGAAACCAGCCATTGCAAGACCAAACTGAAGCTATACCAGACCGGACTAAACTTAAGAAATTTGACCTGATTTTTATCTGTTATCTGTTTTTGAAAATAGCTAACTCTGGCATGTGAACTTCGATCTTGAGCAGGTGCGCCTAGGTCAGAACGTATGCCGTAAATTCCAACTAGTAGGAGCCTGTCGTGTATTTAATTCAAAATTAAGACATTATAATTGCATTTGTGTATACGCTAAACCAATTATCTAGCTTACAAAAGTCTAGTTAGCTTAACGAGTATATGTACCAGTGAATGCATTGGACATAAGGGTTAATGTGAGCATATGTCCTGTACAATGTATGTACTAAAAACATATTTATTTAGAACAAGATGTTCGAGAATGCTTGTTTTCATTTAAGTTATAACACGCTGGTTGGTTTATCACATATATTGCTGTTTTGGTTCTATTATCGCTTGAGGGATTTCTTGATTTGTGAGATAATGACACACGTGATCTACGAACAGGGTAAAAGTGTATTTAAATTTAAGGTGCACAATGGTTCCCACCGCGACATTTTTGTCCCCTAGAGGTCGCGGGTGTACTAGGGTGTATCGCTCTTTTTAAAAGGAGGCGCGATCGGGTGTATACGGCCTAATTTCACGTTGACGCCTGTAGTCGCTGATGAATGGTGAGCTTACAGGTGAAGTACTGCTGTGTATCACGGTCCGTGTACCACAAACTGATTATTAAAACATGATTAGGTATGAAATAGGAAACTTTTTGCTTCTCCTCTTTCATTACTCCCTATCTGAATGATTTGTTGACTTATTTATATCCTTTCCATGGTTTAAAACTCGCCTCAAACAGTCTAGGATTTATGTAAACATACAGTAGTATGTAAAATAAAAACTGCAGTACTAGCCCGAGTTTCCTCTAGCCATTACACCAGACTTGGACATTTTGACATATTGGTGTCTGACATTTTTACATGTTGATGTCTGGTACCAGACATCTATATGTCAAAATATCTAAGTCTGGTGTCAGGGCCAGCGGAAACTCTGGCTAGTATTGCAGTGCCTACCCTAGATATTGTGCTTACCCTAAAGTTGTTATTGGCATTCATTATGTGCACTGTTAAATGTTAGAAATCCTGCTCTATAGAAACATAGTTTCAATATTTTGCCAACATAAAAAAATGCTTACCTATCCACCATATTTATTCCGAGGATGATAGGGGGAAATACTACTCCAACAGTGTTAGAGGTTTACACGCGGAGATACTTATGTGTGGCAAAATCAGAAAGAAAAAATTATCAGAAGGGGATCAGTGGTCATGTTGTAGTGTTATAGTTTAGAATTGATGATGCTGGTTTGCTAATTGTCATAATCATTATGCCAGATTTACATTTCATATTATAAATAACAAAAACAATATCTGATTTATAACAAAAATGTAATAAAAGTTTTGAACACATAAGCTATGGCAATGAATATGAACATCATAATAAAAATAATGATGTCTACATGTAGTTGGCATAGAAACATAGGAATGACTTTGTAAGGGGCAGGACACTTGATAAGGTCATTTATTAATTTTGCATATGACAACTTGGGCAGCCACACTTCAAAGCGACAAGCATCATGCAGCTTCTTTTCAAATAAGCGAATAGCAATTGTGTTGCTTTTAAAATAACAATTACTGAATAATAGAAAAATTAAATCACAAGAAAAATCGCTCAACTTGTTCACAGTGTACTTATGGAAGCTGAGCACGTTTTGCTGTACAATTAGAAGAAGTATAAGCCAGAGTTACCAGGGCTTTCAGTTGACGCTAGACTGATATTTTAGAGCATGTTTTGACTCCCTAAAATAAAATTTGACTCCTTGGTTTTAAAGACAGGTTTATTTGACCTATGTTTTGACACTCAAAAATTCAAGAAGAATTCTATTTTACTTTTGAAATTGTTAAATGCCAAGATTCAGCTAAAAGCCCTGAACACTTTTTATCATTTAAGGATGTAGCACTTCCGAAAACTGGAACTATCCATATATAGGAAACTTATTTGTTTGGTATGTGTATATATCTTTGATAAATCATGAAACCATTTTTGTGCTCAAACCAACATTCTTATTTCAAGAATAAGCTCTTCTGATTTTAAGGTTTGAAGTGGTTTGAAGTGATTAGTCTCTCTACAATCAATTGGGCTTGAGTACAAAATCTGAGTTTGAGCAAGACCTGGAGAATGGTTTCATAAATATGTGCTCATGATTTCAACTCCAGACTCCAGATCAGTATACTAAACCTACTGAGCTACCTGATCGTCACTACTGTTATACATATCTAAATACAGTAGAATTCTGTAGTGTTTTGTCTGCCGCAGCAGGACATGGATCTTTAATTATTTTTGTTTTATGAATTATTTGTTACATTTATTCGTGTTGCTTTGTGGTTTTTCTTTTCTTTTCAGAGACATTGACAAAATGACACCTACATAGAAGAATTGGAAGGAGGTAGGTTAAATTTTCAGTTTCAAACTACTGTAAAACTGTTAGATATGCATGAATTTATGATAAAGAGCACTAATGTTTGATACACTTACATATAACCAAATGGTTACTACTAAGGAGATATATATATATATATATACCAATATTAAACAAACTTGAAACTGTCAAAATTCAAAATGGCTGTCAATGTCTGGTGGCCATCTTTTATACTACCGTATGTATAACTGATACTATAATATTTCAGAGGAACGAGGACGCCTTAAGGATGGAGTGTGCCTTCAATATTCACTTTCATGGCCAGCCAGGCCAAGGGATAAGAGACAACATGGATTTGATGCTCACAAATAAGTCTTAAAAAACAAGGGACTTGAATGCTGTCTTGTCACAGTTTTTCTAATGATCATGATTATATATATAGTATAAGTAACCTTTTTTCTGCTTAAGCTCTTGTCTTATTACCCGATTAAGATACCCATTTCAACCAATTTCAACAGATCTACGCCGATCAAAAAAATAAACGAATATAATAATTATGTATTTCGAACCTGTCCCCAAACTTACTTTCACTTTCGATGACACCGACAGTGACAGTCGATTACCCGAACAGCTGACTGGTGAAACTGATAGAAAGGCAACAATAAATGCAGCTTTTATTCAGTATGAAATAAAATATGTTTTACCTCTCAACTAAATCACTTTTTCTGCCATAGGTAGTAGCACTCCGTTTCCTCAATTCAGTCTTCAGCTTCTGTACCGACCAGTTCTGAAAACACTCGACCGCCATCTTGGCATCGGTAATAAACCCCTAGTACACGCGCGCCCCTGGTGAGTAGTGTGGCGGCGGAACCATTGCTATGTGCATTCTAGTAAGGGCCGGACGGAGAAAGATAACGATACCCCATTCTTGAATCGATAGCTCAAACTACAGGCAACGATAATTCAGGGGTGAGAGAAGAAAAACGCCTACAGGTAAGCTAAATTATAAATATATGATGATCATATTTAAGAAGAAAACAAAACGTTAAATGACACATTCACCCTAACATTTGGCATACAAAGAAAAATATTTCCTACACAACAATACCCTCTGACAGCTTTTTAGCGTGCCAATATCATATTTATGATATAATACTCATTATAGTACATACAACAAACAGTCATAACTGGCGTAACACACAGGACACATACTATTTCACTCAAACACACAGCATAAATACCCTAAACTTTACCCTGACATACGAAAAACACAATCTTACCGTCATGTAATAAAAGGATAGCTTCGTTCCTACACAGCTAACACAGACCAGTACTCCTGTGTGACTGGGTCACTCCTTACCGCTTTTTGAAAACAAAACGTTAAATGACACATTCACCCTAACATTTGGCATACAAAGAAAAATATTTACTTTTATCCTTTGGGTTTGTTTGTGTTTTACGTCCTGTGAGACCAAGCACGGATAGAAGAGACAGAGAACCAGACAAGCAAAAACAGGGGTCATTTCAATTTTTGTATATGGAAAGTAGCGTAAAGGGTGTATCAGAGTGTGTAGACGCACATATAAGTGACAACAGGTAAGCGAACAGGTAAGAAATTATGTACACGGTAACCACAGTCGTTATAGTCTTTTTCGTGACTCAGGTTCAGGTTCAGTTCATTGTGCCCGTGGTAATTGATATTTCGTCTGATGTATTTTTATGACGACGATTGAGTTAAAAGAAATTCCCCGGGCCAAAAAAATCAGCTGGAAAAAGTTTGTTTTTACCACAGTGACAAGGATCCCATTTGCAGATTAGATTTACCTTCCACAAACTTCTTAGGACACGATATTTCCATATATCCGTACTTGTTCCACACGTTTTCGTCACTTAATTCCTTTGCATTTTTGTGTAGAGGTGGTTGGACAAAAGATTGTTTATTAGCATCCCTTCGTGACAAAGTAACGTTTATGAATGTTCCTTCGCAACAGTAACATGATGGCGAAAAATGAGTGGTTTTCTGTATTGACATATGCATTTGTTTATTCTCCTGAAAAATAACAACAGAAGAAAAATTAAGATTGATTCAGTTTTCTGCTATTTTCGACTTAGTTTTAAATCGACAGCTTTCATGGAATTTTCTCCATGCAACACAACTGAAATATTTAAATATGTACAGAATCACACAATAACAGCACTATAATGCATGTTTAGAATTATAGATGCAATATAGCCAAATAATTAATTAGATTACGTGATACAACTGTTTCGGCCTTATACGAAGTCGCTAAATAGAAGTTCATCAGGAAACAGAAAAAAATCCAAGTTAGGCATCGATGAATATATTTAATAGGTGGTCGGCATTGCATGAAAACTTTAGTCCCCGAGGTTTGCCGTAACTTGCATGCCACGTTTTAATTCATTCAAATAGTGACATGGTTCAGAATATACTCATGTGCTTGACGTGCTTTTGATATCCAATATTGAAATATTAAATTCATGAAAATATGGGACTTACATACTTCCCCATCCATATTTTTTGACATTTCTTTCGACCTATATGGAGTTTCATCCGTCGCCTCCAAGGTATCAACACATTAGGCTGTATGAAGCAGTTTTCATTTTGGCTCTACTGTATCTAATTCACTGTTTTTTTATTGAAAGGTGCTAATCGCTTGTGTGTTTTTGTACAACACTTTAAGCTAATGCGTTGACAGCCAAATGATGCTGTTAATTGGTACGGCATGGTGTTGTCACCTTTTACTCTAGTTGCGCAAAGATACTAATTTGTTGCAACAGCCCTGGGGTCGTTATTGGCAGGCCCCACTGTCAACCACATGATCATCCTGGAGTAACTATAAAACAGAAGGAGAAATGTGCCTTTTGCAATACAAAATGTTGCCAGTGTAGTAATTTATCGCAACTGAACTCAAAACGTTTAATAATTTATTTTGCAAATATGATGCAATACGTGTAAATGAACACCAGTGTTAAATTATATTCGGTATACACACTGAAAAGCAAATGATTCTTCCTTTATAACGACGAGCGGGAAAATAGGGTGACGTCAAGTATATTCATAGTACGTATTTTATATCGTTTTCATAGAACGACAAAATAAATAACAAGAGTACCGTGGGTCGGAAAAATAATCGCCCGTCCAATGCCAAAGAACAATGTATTATTGTATCAAAATTAATGCAAATACAGAAATGAAACATTAGTTGTCTTATCAAAATGCAGTCACAATCAAATCAAAAACGTACAAGTTCATGGCATAGCAAGGTCAAAAATGATTGAAAGAAACTGGTTGAAAACTGAGGGTGAAGATCGATAGAGATCAAGAGGATTTAAAAACTTAAATAAACAAATTGCAATAACGTTTGCGAAAATAGTCGAATCAAAATAACACTCATGAAAACACTACTGTATATCATTATATGAGCCAACTTTAAAGAGGTCTTTTAAAAACTGTGGGAGGAGATCTCCGGACAAGGTTCGAATACTGAAAGAAAAAAGGGCAATGACTTTTGCAAAAAAAGCTTCATAGAGATTGGATGATAAATGTAGGAGGGGATCTCCGGACAAACAAACGTTTACACCGGACGGACGGACAACGCCATACCATAATACTGCCGTCAAATTTTGACGAGCGTGTAAAAATGATCATGATACGTTATGCTTACTCGTCAGTACGGCCATGAATTGCGCACCCGTATGGTTAAATTTGATCATATCTAATAAAGATAATAAACACACATGCACTTAAATGTTTGACATAGTGTCCTTTGAATATACAGATTCGAGTTTAGTGATATATAAGAGTTTTCTCACAAATATTGCAAATTTTAAATCAGATGGTTTTGAAGGAAAAAAATATTATTTGTCACAAATATATTTTTCGTTTTTAAAATGTCACTTGCCTCTAAACAGGTCTTCGTATTTAAAACTGTTCCATGAAGGAGCTAATTATGACATCTAATTATCTTTAACTATCATTGTAAATTAAGATTTCCAAATAATTATCCATCAACATGCCACACATGGTTTGGTCCCATTGATCTGTATATTCGTCTTTGAATCCTGCGTCTCCGACGAAATTCAACGCCGTTTGGATTAACTTCTCTCAAAGCTTCCATGGCCATTTTTTCTGACACATGAATGTTTTATTAATATTTCTATTCCGTCATTATCGTGAGACAAATTGGGCACGACCATTACTGTTGTATAGATATTCCGTGTGCTGAGCACAACAATATATTTTCATACAATTTGTACTAGTCGTTATGAGATGGTACAGCAAACTAGGATATTAATCATGATACTGCTTGTATGCTACGTTTTTGGTTGATATCAACTTCAAACTGATGATTTGTGTAACTTACTGAACTTTTATTGTATGAAAAGACATGCATTGTATCTGCTATAACATTATTATATGTACAGTACCTACACACCTTCTTACATGCATTCCTTTTCGTCGAAGTATATTGGTCATGGTTCTATAACCAACCGTTTCGGGCAGATCCTCCAAGAGTATCTGTAATATTGGTAACAAATATTACGGTAATGTATGTAGAGTTTGAAATGTCTAGGAAATATTTGAATAATATATGTAACCATAAAAGTACTTTGAAGGATATGAAAGCTGCTAGTTTTTGATCTTTTAATGTGTAAAAGTAACTAACCTTAATAGCATCTTTCACTTCATTTTCCCCATCCAATGTTAATTCTTTCCTTGGTAATGTTCCAAGACGTTTGAGACGTTTTCCTATAGCATTTATCATTTGATAAAAAGGAGAACCTGCATATGAAATCTAAAGAAGATCTAAGAAGAACTTTCTGAGAAATAGCAATAACAAATTTAAACAGTTAAAATCCAAGATTGCTGCATGTTGGCTGTTGTTTGTTTTTTCAATCAGTCTCAAAATTAAGAATGCACAACTAGAAACCAAAGGAAACCTACATAATTATGAAATCTGAGAAAGATCTATAAGAACTTTCTGTTTTTCAAGTTTTAGAAATACGACTCAAGTATTTCTCAAGAAACAGCGATATAAAATGTGTTAAACTCCAAGATGGCTGCCACCCAGCCATTTTGTTTTCCGCAATCACTTTAACTTCTTCACAGGCACAACCGAGAAAGGGATAATCAAAATCTAAAATGGCCACCTGCCGGCTATTGTTTGTTTTCTTGGTCACACTCAACATTGAATGGGCACATCTAGGTACCAAGGGGAACCTACACATCAAGTTTGCGAAATGTCCATTCTGTTCTTCTCAAGAAATAGCGATAACAAGGATTGTTTACGGACGGACCACGGACGAAGGGCGATTTGACAAAAATAGTATAGAATATCAGACATAATTAGTATAATATGTGCTACTGATTGAAAAGTATAATAATAAACATAATACTTAACATTAATGTACCATTGCAGTTAAAATAACCATGGTCTTTTACAATTTTGACAGAGAATGCCCGGACAATTTGTACTAGAGTTCTAAACATTAACTTCGTTCTGCTGCTAAAACTGTACACAATATTGCGTATAAATATATAGATTCTTCTGTTGCTGTAAGATCTGCATACATGTAATTGGTAAAAGTCTACACCATTCCAGTCTGAATCACGTTACACTTTTGAGATACATGTGGGACAAGAACGTTGAAATCAGCCATTGCCAGACCAAACTAAAGCTATACCAGAGCAGACTAAACTTAAGAAATTTGACCTGATTGTTATCTGTTATCTGTTTTTGAAAATAGTTACACCTAATAGAGACTCTGTATAGCGTGTAAACTCTGGCATGTGAACTTCGATCTTGAGCAGGTGCGCCTAGGTCAGAACGTATGCCGTAAAGTCCAACTAGTAGGAGCCTGTCTTTTATTTATTTTTTATTTTTTTTTTATTTTTTTTTATTTTTTTTTATTTATTTTTTTGCACTCAGTGTTAATCATTCAGCATCATCAATAACAATACCGTGACAGTG